CGCACCCCAGCCCGGGCAACCCGGGCTACATGATCCCGTGCAACTGCAGCGCGTGGCCCAGCCCCGGGCTACAGCCGCCGCTCGCCTACATCCTGCTGCCGGGCATGGGCAAGCCTCAGCTGGACCCCTACCCCGCGGCCTACGCCGCCGCGCTATGACCCCGCGGGGCCGCCGCGCAAGCACCGCTGTGAATACGTGTACATGTGTATAGGTACGAGCGCCTGGGCCTCCTGCGACAGGGCCCGCCGTTTGTATGTACATAAGAAGTATAGGTGACACGCCGAGGCAGAGACGCAGGTCGGTGCGCTCGTCAGCGAGCGCGCGGGTGAGTGTGCGTGGGAATTCACAGGATCGTTCCAGGCCCGCACTTGGGCCGCAAACTTTAGAGGGCGGTTGTGTCGCGCGGCAGTTGGTATCCGCTTTGCACTTCGAAACCTGTTGCATTTGTGCCCACAGAGATTCCAGAGTAACTTTTTGACGTGTTTGGCATTCTAGTTCTGTTCTGTTCTGTTCTGTTTGTTTGTTTTGTTGGAAGTTTTATTGTCGGCTTTGTTTTCATTTCTTCATTATCTTTCTTTTCTTTCCTTTTTAACTCCTGCCCCTTCCTGGCCCGAGTTGCATGCATTCTGTTCCAATGTGAGGTCTGAATTTGCTGGCACAAGGCAAGGGAAAAGTTGATCTGTGTCTTAAGTTTCTCGGCGCTGGATGCCTCTGAGCCACCTTGGCTCCGCATTTGTACTACTCGAGCTTTGCAGAGAAGCCCAGACCAGATCTTTCTGGACCAGTGACCCGTGCCCATATGGTGACCACAGTTTCTATTGTTTATCATGCCATATGCAAATCAGAACCAAAACTCTTTCTGGAGAGTAAGAAACGCAAACAAATATGTAAGATGCAAAATTGACAATTGGATTTTTCTCCCCTAAAAACGAAACAAAACTAGGATTCTGAGTCCACCCTCTTGGATTTCCGACACAGTTGACCAAAGGAGAAAACGCATGCCCTCGGTTCTACGTTTTGGCGAGTCTACGTTTCGATTGTAAATGTGTAAATGTCCGTGAAAACCTTCCCAGTCTTTGAAAATGTGTTATTTGCGTTGCCCTATATTTCAGTGGGTTTTAGGCTCAAAAGCTTCTGCGCGAATGTCAAAGTTACCTTTGAAAAAAAAATGCGGTCTGTTTCAGAATCGCAATTTTACCTAAGATTAAATCAGACTTTTTTTGTCTGAGTGGTAATTATATATTTATTATTTAGCAAACCCGAAGGAAAATAAAACAATTGTTTTGACAGATGTCTTTCATTTTCAGTAACATTCCCCCCTCCCAACCTTAACTGGTTCAAATTTGTTTTGGCGATCCCTCCCAAATTAGTTTACCCACCCACCCCCATCTGCAATTCACTTGCAATTTATGATAAAATACAATTTAGAAAAATAACTTTTCTCAATTAAAGCTTTTGGGGGGTTTCCTTTAAAATGTATATATTTTGACTAGTGTTTGTGGATGGAGTTGGCTAACATGTATTTAGTTTCATTTTGGCTCTATGTAATATAAAGTTTTTTCAAGTTTAGCTATTGCTTTTAACTTTTATGTGTAAATGGTTTTCTTGTGCGATCTTCTAATTTAATATTAGATGTCTAAACTATATCTGTAAATTAGATTCTGACTATCACTCTGTTTTGTTTTGGTTTTTTTGAACAAAGAGTTTAAATAAAGCCTGAACCAGGGAAAAGAAAATCCTCTATTTCTTGTTGAGTCCTTAACAAGATTTTTATCTGAATTGCCCTGACGTGCCTGGTCCAGGTGAAGTGTAAGGTATCCTCCAAAGGCAGCCTTTGTTTCACTTGTGAATAGATTTGCTAGGAAATCTAAATCAAGTCATTGTTATTCAGAGCCAAAAACCTGATTTATCGCATTTCTAATCGTGAATAGGAAAGAAGATAAAAAAAAACCTCAAGTAGTTGTATTTTTTTTAAGGCATTCATGAACCAGTAGAACAGAGCCCATTGAAAACATACAGAGCGTTCAAAGCATTTCACCCGTTTCCAGTAACATTTTAAGAGGGGAAAGTTTCCTGAACACATTATCTTCTTAGTGTGAGAGCCCCACCACTTAAATCAGTGTAATTTGCTCATGTATCTTTGGGGTATTCCTGATTTACACCTGACGCTTTTACTTGGATGTGTAATCACTGCTAAGGACTCAGACAACTTTTGGCCTCTTCCCCAGCTGTCTTCTCTCATGCTAATGAGATTAAAATTGAAGTATAAGAAACACTAATTCAGGAGGTTGACATCGCAGGCCTAGACCGTTTCAAGTAGACAAAGGTTTGAAATAATAAAATAAATCCGTGAATAAAAATAATTTTAGGAAAGAAATGATAATAGAACAAATAGTAATAACTATAGGGTGATGGCTTTCTTCCCCGTTAACATGGAAATGCTCTTGACTCAAATCTTCGTAGTTTCCCCCATCTCAGAGCCACATGTCTTTAGAAGCTA